AATATATTTTTGCCTGTCTGACTCAGAAAAATAGGTATAATTTTGATTTCATTCGCACTGGATGGCTATTGGTGTGTTGGCACACTGGCTGAATAGTGCTGACTTACCCCATTGCTCTAAGTCAACAGTGCAGCATTTCTCATCACCAACACTGTTAGCTAAGTTTAAACTCAGGCTCTGTTTCTAGGAGATTCCATCAAATTGTGAGACTGAGTTTTATTATTAAAATAAAGTTATTGAATTGTTAGAAACATTGTTCACCATGAGAAAATAATTTTAAAAACAGATTTAAAATGATGGTTGCAATACTTTCATTAGAGGGCAGAAGTGAAAGAAAGCTAATGAAAAAGATGAGATTTTTTGAAACATCCTTAATGAGTAAAAAATGTTCATTTTAAATCCATTTTTAACTAAGCTCCTTAAGACATTATGTTTTTGCTTTCATTTCACAAGCGAAGATTAAAAAGGGCTTTATTTTCTCATTTAATGAGTATGCTATCCATACAGAATAGATAGAATGCCCTGGTTAAGGAGGCTTGGAAATGGATTCAGGAGTCCAGTAGAAGATGTTTTAGCTTTCCATGTTAAATGGCCTTCCTATATTGCCACTTAATATATAAAGTAATAAAAGAAATACACCCATGAGAAAGCTGACCGTTCATTTAAGAGTAATTTCACTGAATTAAAACTTTCTATGTTTATTACTTTTGAGCTTTGTACTGTGAGGTAAATGAGGCAATTTCACCCCTCCCTGTATGTTGCATATTTGTTAGAAACGAGTTTCCTACCTAATTAGGGTCTTTGGAATTCTTTTTGGGAAATACACTACCAATTCACATTTTGTCTCTTTTGTTTCATGTTTGCTGTGTTAAAATTACTTAGCAGACAAAATCCAAAACAAAAACAACACCATGTAAACCAGGAAGAAAAATTCCAAGAAAAATACTTGGCTAGAAATTAAATTATTTACCTCAAAGTTTACAACTTGGAGAAGTAAATAATAGCTAAATTTCATGACAGAAATGACTTTTTACTTGAGAAAAAAACTCCAATATTCTATATTTCATATATTTCCCCCAAGGACACGTAAATAAACAAAATTACTGTTCAAGAAAATGCCTGGTAAATATAAGCATTTTTACCTGAAAATTTATTCATTTTTACCTGAAGTTCTGGTAGGCAAGCACTTTAAATATTAAACTGAAACCTGTAGACTTACAATTAAATTCACTGAATGAGATTTTAATATATTAACAACTTAAAATTATAATAGTATGAATAACTCTTTTTGGTGAGGCATTTGTCATCATGCTTGCAATCACAAAATTGGTCTTTGAATACAGTAAATACGACTTTGGTTTGAACATTTCACAGTGGGTTAAATCTTCAATTTTCTTCCTTTTAAGGTCCACAGCTATATGTTTTCTCTAACAAATTTGAGTTTGAATTATTTGGATCATTTTCTAATGTGAGCCGTAAAAGTAAATAGCATACATGCTTAAATGTGGTGGGGTTTTGTTGCATTTCTACAACCCAAAGACCCGTTGGGTTGAAAAAAAAAATAAAATTTAACAGCTTTTAATTTGTCATGTGGAATCTGATTCTATGTGCTTTTTATTACCTCCATATATTTATCCAAGTGAAGCATAAAATGGTTGTAATAATGGAGAATTTAAAGCAGCTTTTGCACATGAGCAGTAATGCTAACTAATATGGTGAATAAAAACTGAATGTAAATTCTCAGAATTTCTGTTTATTGTGTTTACTAAGGTGTATGTTGGTTAGCTGATATAATAAGCTCCTCCTCATCCTAACTAAGCTATAAAGAACTTGGATGAACAGAATGGAAGAAATAAGGAGTGGTCATTTACATGCAATCAGAAGCTTCATATTCCTATTTAATTTTCAAACTTCAATACAATATAGATTCAGTAACAAAACCTGTTGAAATATAAGCTCACAGCCCTTTGCTGGGGTAAAGCTCTGATATGCCATGTATGCTTCCAGAGATACCTAGGTGGGGCAGAAATCAGTACATCTAAAATTACCAGTTCTGCCCAGCAGGAGTGGCTCAATGGTTGAGCATCAACCTATGAACCAGGAGATCATGGTTCGGTTCCCGGTCAGGGCACATGCCCGGGTTGTGGGCTCGATCCCCAGTAGGGGTGTGCAGGAGGCAGCTGATCAATGACTCTTCGTTATTGATGTTTCTCTCTCTCCCTCTCTCTGCCCCTCTCTGATATCAATAAAAACATTTTTAAAAGTAAAATAAATAAAAATAAAGTCACCAGTTCCTATTGATCCTACCTCATTTATTTCTCTTAATATGATCTCCTCTTCTTCATCTGTGACTTGGTTTGGGCCTTCAATTATATTACATGTGTACTATTCCAGCAACCACTTTTCTGTCCACAATGCCCACATTTCAACATTCCGGCCCACTTACTCATTTCTGCTAGACTTATTTGCCCACATTTCAACATTCCGGCCCACTTACTCATTTCTGCTAGACTTATTGGCCCACATAACAAAGCTGGCTATGTTACTCCACTGCTAATAAACTTCTGTGAGCATCCTATTAATCAATAATTTCAAGTCCAAATCCTTAACTTGGCCTGCGTGCTTCTGAAGCGCACCCTTGTTAGCTTGCAGTCCACATTCTCTGAAGTTGTATTGCACTCCTAAAAACACCCAGAACTCCTCACATATTCCTCCTGTTTGCCATCTCCTACCTACCTGTTCAAATGCTACCTTCTCTTCTAAAGCTCTCTGGACTCCCCAAGGAAAAAGTAGTTGATTCATTGAAGGGTTTTCTCACAATATGTGGCTCATTTTTCACTTAGAGATTAAATTTTAAATTATTTTATATGCCCATGATCTTACAACATTCTGAGCTCCTTATAAACTAAGATAATTGCATTTATATTTGTATCTGTAGCACTAGACACAGTAGCATATGGAAGTGAATGTTCTCTCTAAACATTTGTTAAATGAATGAATGTATGAATAAATGAATCCAGAAAGTTCTGGATAAAAGTCCAACACAAAAAATGTTTTTAGCAAACTTGCTGATTGTAGAAAACAGTTCCAAAAGTCATGAAATGTCTACTAATTACTATTCTAAGGTTGAGACCACCTTATACAGACCAATATTTTCCTTTCAATATACTGAATGATATAATTTTTCATCAGAATAATGAATCATTAGGAAATTTTTAAAAATTTTATATAATATTCGCCAATGTAAAAAATTATAAAAATACATCTATAAAGTAGGTATTTGATTGATTTTAGTATAAACTTGCATGTGCCCAACCATCGTGGCTCAGCGGTTGAGCATCAAGCTATGATCCAGGAGACTGAGGTTCGATTTCCCCATCAGAGCACATGCCTGGGTTTTCGGCTCAATCACCAGCAGGGGGCATGCAGGAGGCAGTCTATCAGTGACTCTCTCATCATTGATGTTTCTCTCTCTCCCCCTCTCCCTTCCTCTCTCTGAAATCAATAAAGATATATTAAAAAATAATAACAATAAAATAAACCTGTACATAGGTTCAAGCCCACAGATCTTGGTGTTAAATGTATGTCCCAGTTCTAACTACTATTATCTAATTTTATGCGCTCAAATACATGAAATTAGGCCATAACCCAAAGAAAATATTGCCTAGAAAGAGTAAGGATTCAGGTTGCTAAAATCCAATGGAACCTATAGTGTTCTTTAGATTACTGGCCTGAATATGTGATTGATATAAGAAGAGCTAATGACAAATTTTTATTAAATTAATAAGACCTTATATGAAGCTAAATAGTATTGAATGCATCTAGATAGATGAGATTACTTTTATAATTTGTAATGTCATACCAAGAACTTTATTTAATATGGCATAATAATAAGCACTGTATTAGGTTTCATGTCATTTTCCATAACTAAAATAGGGTTTAATTAAGTAGTAAGGTACTTGCCAAATGTCTTTTTAATTGTTGAAATGTTTTACATGCTAATGTGAAAGGTACATAACAATATTTATGTCAAAAAGAATAATTTGATGTGAGAGGCATATTTGAATATCATAACATAATTTCTTTCTGTTTGTCTTTATGTGTGAAAATATGTATCTAATTTACCTATTTTCTTCTAATTGAGGACATGATACCTTATTAGAATATGTATAATTAAAAACTGCATTTTTTCATGAGAATGAATTTTTAAATCCAATACTTGGTAATGTAAAAATCTAGTCAACCTTTGTAAAATTATATTAAATGATCATAAATTTAATTAACTGTCACAAAGAAATAATGATATTCCCAGTGGGTCATGGGAGAAGATAAATTTTGAACATCTTACATCCAGATTAAATACTGGAATATTTTAAACTATATTTTCTTTGAAACTTTTGTTATATTTATAAAATATTGTATCTTTAGCTCTCTGCAGTATCATAATTTCCCAGTATTGTTCATTTAAAAGAGGGCAATCTCTTAATGAAATAATTAATAGTTATCTACCCACTACTGAATTTTGTCTTTATGGATAACTACAATTTTTAATATGCTATCCAGTTATGTTCATTTTTGTTGAATACACAGCCATCTAGAAAATCCTGGCATTTGTAGCTTAGTTTCTTTAATTCCCATGAAAAGCCAAGATTTTTTCTCTTTATGAGTGGCAGACCTAAAATGAAGTTGTCCAAGAACAAGCTAAGAATAATAAGCAGTAAAGCCATATATTAAAACCTGAGCAACCAGCATATAGAAAAGTCAAAGATATACTTGAATCTGTCAGATCAATACATTCCTGTAATTCCCTCAGGGAACAATCATACAATTTGACACCAACATTTAAGCTTTGAAAATTATGTGACCATTTATTACATTGGGGATGGTACGCGTCCTCAAAGCTTTTCTATCACTTATAACACCAGACAGGGCTACCTCATTTTAAAAATCCTTTTTGTTATTGATAATTGCCTAAGCTGCTTGTTGCTTTTCTTTTTCAGAATGAAGAACAAATTTTGGTATTTTGAGTTTGGCACCTCTGAAACTTTCTCAGCCACCTGCAAGAAACTACATGAATCTGTAGAAATAGAAGTAAGAAAAATGAATTTTCTTTTCTAATACTATGAAGTGGCTTGAGTTTGGTTATTAATATGTTTTTGGTAGTCCATGAAAGAAGTTATGTTTTGAGCAATCCATATAACTTTACCAATGATTCTAAAAACTTATTTCTGTCACTCACTGGGAATCTAGCACTGTCTGAATATTAGTATAAAGTTAAGTTTGAGTATGGGTTATTTTAATGCAATAGAAAAGGAGAGATGGAACACAACTTTAGAAACCAACAGAGAAGTTACTGAGCATAGCGTGGATTTAAAAAGTAAGATAAAAGAAAGTACTTGAAGGGGAGAAGAGTTGCAAGATATATTTAAAAAAAAACACAAAACTTATTATTTTCAGGTCTCGATACCTTATAACCTTTAAAACACAGTTCATGGAAAAAATTGTACTTACTTTCATGAATACAGGTTAAAAAGTATACTTCTCCATTCCATTCCCATTCATTAACTAGATTTTTTTAGTTCCTGGGGTTACCATTTCCCTGTTACATTTATAGGAAGTGGAAAAGCCAAGGTAGAGAGCAAAGAGAGCAAGAAATGATACACTTTAAAAAGATTTGTAGCAAATAGGTCTACCAAAAAATATAGACGCTGTAGAACTAGAAGTTTTGGAGATGGGTTATAATAGAAAATGACTTAGTTTTATTGAGAGATTTTAGGGGTTAAAGGAAAAGGTAAGCTATCTTTTGATAAGTGGTAAAGACAAACCATAGGAACAGAACTATGAAACAAGAACATCTCATTATTAGCTGATATGAATTGAGAAATGTCTACAACAGTTTTCATTGAAAAAAATAAATGCATAAATTGTCTTCTGAGACCTAAAGCATTAGTGGCATATATTCAGCTAATAAGTTTGGGAAACAAAAGCAGTTATGGGTCACAGAGAATCATAGTGGCCTGGGCTGGTTCTTCATTATCTTACCTTTCTAATTAACTGTTAATGGTGATAACAGCAAAGGTGGTATTATTTCAGAAGGTAACTTCTTTTGGTCTTTCATTTAATCGTGAATGGTGGATAAATCGAAGTATTAGAAGGAGAATTGGTGGTCACAGAATGGAATAAGTCCCTCATGACTGAATCAGATCATAATCCTGAAAAGCAATGTAATCACAAAAGGTGAAGGATTTGGGCTCAACACTGACTTACTATGATTACTGTTTATGAAGATATATATGTGCATGTATTATATATATATATATATGTGTGTGTGTGTGTGTGTATGTATATATATATATGTAGTGTTATATTGTTGTATTTGTGCATATGCACATATATTTATTAAAATACCTAGATCTCCCTTTCCCTTCTGAAATCTTAGTTTTAAAAATTCTTTATATAGTGGATGTTGAGCAATTATTACCCTCAGAATGCTCAAAGAAAATCTATAGAAGAAGGCAAAAATGAAAAAAAAAAATAAGTATGGCTTCTGGTTGAATGTAAGATGCAGGCTCCACCTCTCTTTACCTTACCCTATTACTGAATACAGATTGC